CATATCATTTTAAGAGGTTATAAAGGTCCTCAGCTTTGGGGGCCTAAGCATTTTTATTTTAGTCAGACTAAAATAATTAAAAAACTAAATAACTTACTAAAATAACTAACTTGGTCAAGAGGACAATTATTACATAACAGTTACCTTCTAAACTGAGAAACAAATTAATGGCAGAAATCAAGAAACAAATTTATATAGAAAATAATAGAAGGAAGAAAACCTACAAACACAGAACAATTTTATATATGAGGCACAAAGGGTGGGACCCACTCTTTATGTCTCATTTATGAACAATTTCTAAGAAATTGTTTTGTATTTGTAGCATAGTAACACAAGGCAATTCTAAGAGTATCTTTAATATGGGTGAGCATGATTTGGATTGAAATAAAATTAAGATTAATTTGTTATTTATGGTTCTTAAAAAATTGAAACCAATTCAATTTATTTATATCATGGAATCAATCCGAACCAATTCGTTTGAATACGGATTAGATGGGTTTAGGATCACAAATTCACATAATTAAATAATAATAATAAAATATAGAATATTTTAATTTCATAAAAATATAAATATAATATCAAACAAAAGCAACAAACCAAAGCAATAAAACTGAATACACATTACACAAAGTAGAGTTCTTCTCTGTATTAAAACAAAATATAACATCAAATAAAAGCAATAAGAAAACTGGTTTAGCTTTTATATGGAATAAGAAATGATATTATATGGGAAGGTCTATAGTATAAATATAGACTATTTATATACGGGCCGGATCGGTTCCAATCCGGAATCGTGGGATTCAATACTAAACCAATCCGTGGCCTACGAATTTTTAAATTTCTAATCCGGAACCGAATCACGGATTCAAAAAATTAATCCAAATCTACCGGATTAGACTGGACCAGATAGGATTATGGATTATATGGATTTCTTGCTCAGCCCTAATCTTTAAGGGACTCTTTAAATGATACTTGTTAACTATTGTAACTAAAATTATTATATTTTAGTCACTTCAATAGTTTACCTATTAGAGCAACCTCATCAAACTTGGCAGACAGCTTCTCCAGCTAAACTAGCGAGATGAACTCCAAAAAACCAGGCGTATCAATCTCGCTACAAGCGCGCCAAAATTTGATGATGCTAAGTAGCTCGTTACAACAAATGAGCTACTGTTCATCGTTATTCATTTTTTTATTATTTTTTTTCCTGCCAAACTCTACCCTTTTGCCTCTTCTGCGCCAAAACTACATAGTGGCAACCACTCCACAGCATTTGCTTTCACCATATCTGAAACTCAGGTTCTCTCTCTCTTTCTCTCTCTCTCTCTCTCTCTCTCTCTGTGCTGTACTCTAGATTTGGATTAGATTGGATGAATTGGGGTCTGTAATTTTATTTGAGAACCATCAATGGCTCTTTGATTGAATTAAGTTGTTTGAACATCTTTGAAAATTTGTATGCACAAAATTTTTGTATCGCAACTGTTTGATAAATTGCCTCAATGAAAGTGAATGCATATATATATGTTGATATTTTAAAGCTTAGATCACTTGTATATTTTTAAATTCATAAATTTGTCTATATATACAATAATCTTAAAATACAGTACCATAATAAATCTGTTTATTATGATAGAATTTCTTTTTTTTTTGTTTTTTTTTTTTTTTTTTATACACATTGTATACAACTATGATATAATTTTAAGATTTTTGTTGAGTAATTAGTGCATAAAATTAATTTGCCCCAATGTCCACCACTATTTAGTTAAAAGTGATCAAATGTGAAATGTATTGTTGATTGTTCATGTCATTGAATATAACTCTCAGAGAGAGGATAGATAAAGTTGAATTACAATGAGAACGAGTAGAAAAAATAAAGGGGAAGTGTGCTCAAGTTAGACAACAAATTAAGCCAAAACCAAATGTTTAGCCCTTTATGTTTGTTACCTTCTATATATCTAATTAAGGCATTGAAACTTTTCTGTTGTCTGAAATCTGAGGCATATAAAGCTAATGTTCTTGATGTGCATAGACAAATGAAATTAAAGAGAAAGATAAAATCCTCTCATGTCAAAGGGGCAAGAGATGGTCATCCCCAACTTTTTTTTAGTTATAATTAAGTCATCCTACCTCTGCCTATTGTTTAATCTTCAACTCCACTTTTTGGTCTTTATTTTGTTTAAGTGGAATAGAAAGGAAGTAGTGTTTTAAGATTTTAATCTTTCTCAGCATACTATTTTAGAGTATAACAATATGGATAAGGTTTAGAAGGTGTGAAGTGTGGTGAATGTGCTAGTTTTCTAATGGATACTTTGCTGCTATAGTGTGGAGTACCATTAATTTCCTGCACAATCTAGAGGGCATTTTCTGGCTTGCTGGGAGTTGGCTGTGTTGGTGCCTTACCAACACTTTTTTTCCAACCTTGTTTGCAGTTTTTGCTAGCATTTGATTGGGTAGTTGCTTCCATATTAACTTTGTTGGGATGTTAGCTTAGCTACCTATGATGCTTCCTTATATTAAGCTTTTGTTATGTAATTTTGTCTACATAATAAAATTTTCTTTTTGCCTTTCAAAAAAGAAAAAAATTCAAATTTTAATAAACAATTATCAAAACACTCCTCCAAGCTCAACCCTTTACTCAAACTTATATCAACTTGAGTTTTACTCAAAGGGAGACTCAAATTCATATCAAATTTAATTTTTGTAACAGAAAAAAGCTGTTAACTCCTCTTATTTAATCCAACGAAAACTTAAAACATGTGCTCTTTTCCCCAAATTTGAGTTAAGGGTTGGAGGTGGTCTTAGTAGGCTTCATTGAATTGATTTTATTTTATATGAAAGCGCTAACTTACTGTCTTGTTGGGATGGATTCAATTTGAAAATTTTCACTCTATCTTGAACGCTAGATTCATTCTGATTTGATTCACTCTATCTTGTAGGATAGATTCAAGTGGAGACCCTTCTTGACCAATCTTTTACAAGAAGGCTCCAACCTTGACAACCAAGTCATGAAGTCTCAATATCTGAACCAAGTTAGTCAAGGTGCTAGCCAATAATCTCAGTTTTCAACCAAAAAAGAATCTGCTACGAAAAAGTCACGCAGTGGCAACTTTTCTAAAGAAGAAGACAATTTGCTTATATCAGCTTGGCTTAATACTAGCTTGGATACAGTGCATGGAAATGAGAAAAAAAAGTAAGAGATTCTGGAGGAGCGTTGGGGAGTACTTCCACGAGCACAAAACATTTATTAGTGAACGTACTGATAATTCTTTGATGAACCGGTGGTCAATCATTCAACTTGGAACCAATAAGTTTTGTGGGTACTTTGTTCAAATTGAATCAATGCGTGAAAGCGATGTGAATGAGCAAGACAAGGTATCAGTTACATAGATATTTAAACATTTACCATTCAATATATTTTAAAATTTTGATATATATATATATATATATTTTCCAGATTGGCAAGGCAAAACTTATGTACCAGGAGGTTCATAACACCTCATTCCCATTCGAACATTGTTGGAATGTGTTGAGGCATCAACCAAAATGGTTTGAGACGAACCAAAAGAAGAATCCAAAAAGGAGTCGAAATTCCACATCTTCTCCTTCAACACCAGAGTTAGTCAATCTAGAGGAAGATGAGATTTAATGAGGTACGCATATACAATTGGAGAGACCAATTGGCAAGAAGAAAGAAAAAGAAAGGCTGAAAAAATTGAAGAGCCAAGATACTACAAGTTCTCCAATTGTAGACTTGCTAATTGACATGAAAGAAGATAGAAAGAAAGGAACTGAGAAAAAACTTGAAATGCTTGAGAAAAAGGAGTCGAAATTCTACATCTTCTCCTTCAACACCAGAGTTAGTCAATCTAGAGGAAGATGAGATTTAATGAGATACGCATATACAATTGGAGAGACCAATTGGCAAGAAGAAAGAAAAAGAAAGGCTGAAAAAATTGAAGAGCCAAGATACTACAAGTTCTCCAATTATAGACTTGTTAATTGACATGAAAGAAGATAGAAAGAAAGGAACTGAGAAAAAACTTGAAATGCTTGAGAAATCGTATATTATTCATGTTGAAAAAGCTGAATTGGAGAAATTGAAGGAAGAAGAGAGAATCATGATGATGGATACGAGTGGGATGTCCTCAATACAACAAGAATACTATTATCAACGTCAAATGGAAATCATTGGGAGTCGAAGAAATAGCAACATTTCTGAGTAATTTATGAAACTGTTATGTTTTTTGTAACTTTTGACTGTTAGTTTGGTAGATTTTGTTTGGATGAAATAGTTGGATCCTTTTGTGCTATATGGTTTCATGATGTAGAAACAGGGGTTCTTTTTTGTGACTTTTGACTAAAGTAAGGTTTATGTATATTTTGTAACTTTTGCCTATATAACACATTGGCATTTTGTAAGCTCTACTTATTGGAGTTTGGTGCTATAAAGGTGATTCTATTTCAGAATGAAACTGAGCTGAACTGTTATTTTTTGGGTTGTTTTTACTGCTGTTTCGGATACTTTTGCTGCTGTTTTTGCTGCTGTTTCGGGGCTATTTTGCTGCTGTTTCGGGGCTGCTTTGCAATTGTTTTTGTGCTGAATTTGGGGCTGTTTTGTGGCTATTTTTGTGCTGAATTTGGGGTTATTTTGTGACTATTTTTGTGCTGAATTTGGGACTGTTTTGTGACTATTTTTATGTTGAATTTGGGCTTCATTTTCACCTCCAAAAACCACAAAATAATAGGATGAATTAATATGGATAATTTATGACATTTTGATCAAATGAATTCATCAAACAAAATCAAAAACATAATATAAATCAAATCATCAAAATCAATATGTCTAACACATGACTTTCCAAAAAATCAACTTACAAGCTACAACAGTTCAAAAAAAAAAAACTTACAAGCTACAGCAAAGGTTGTAATCATCAGAACCAACCTGGTGTTTAGGTCTATTCTCATTAATTCCAGATTGGCTATAGATTTCCTATTCCAACCTAAGATTGGCTATAGATTTGCCATAAGTGCTCAACCAAATCCGATTGGAGTCGAGAATGAGTTTCTCTATCTCTTATGCGACGATGTTGTTGAATAAATTCCATGATATCAGGTGTACATTCAAGTGACACTTGTGCATGAGGGATTTTATCGATTTGTTCATAATCAATGTTTTGCTCTCCTCCGCCATCTCTTTCATCCTCAATGATCATGTTGTGTGGTATTATATAAGCTTTCATAATATCTTTAAGAGTCTGAAGATCCCATGGTCGTACAGGTCCATGCACAATTGCAAAGCGTGCTTCAAGCACTCTAAATGCACGATCTACATCATTTCTATAGGCCTCTTGGGCCTCAGCAAAATGTTTATTCTTTTTTCCTTGTGGACAAGGAATTGTTTTAACAAAAGTTGCCCATTGTAGATATATACCATCAACAAGGTAGTATCCCATGGTATATTCATTTCCATTAATGGTGTAATTAACTCGAGGAGCACACCCTTGAGCAAGCTCAGTAAATACGGAAGACCGCTCTAAAAGATTGATATCATTATTAGACTCAGGTAACCCAAAAAATGCTAGTCATATCCAAAGGTCATATGATGCTATTGGTTCCAAAAAAATTGTTGGCTCATGTGCATGGCTAGTATACATACCTTTCCATGCAGTTGGGCAATTCGTCCAGGTCTAGTGCATACAATCAATGCTCCCTAACATCCCAGGAAAACCGCGACTTTCGCCAATAGCTAGAATTCTAGCAATGCCGTCGTTGTTCAGTGACCTCAAGTACTCATCAGAAAAAATTGAAACCACTGCTTTGACAAATTTCTTTAGGCTTTTCATTGCAGCACTTTCTCCAATCCTCAAGTATTCATCCATAAAATTAGGTGCTACTCCATAAGCAAGCATTCTAAGAGCTGCAGTTATTTTTTGAAGAGAAGACAAACCGAGCACTCTAGCACCATTTCTTTTCTGAACAAAATATGGTTCATAAGCTTCTACTTCAGATTTAATGCGGAGAAAAAGAGAACGATTCATTCGAAACCTTCTCCGAAATAATTTGGGAGGATATACTGGTGGATCAGCAAAATTGTCGAGAAAAAACCTTTGCAAAGGATTACGCCAAAGGAACTCGCGTCGTTTACGAGCAGCATGTCATGACTTTGATGAACTCTCAGCTTCCATAGAAGCTATTGTAACTATCTCCAACTCATCATCGGAGTCGGAGTCATAAAGAATCATGTCTAGAAAATGAAGATCCATATATAAAAAATTAATGAGGATGGAATGAAAGAAAAATATTTCATTTAGATTGTGAGAATAAGAGAACATATGCTATTGTTTATAGTAGAAGAATATAACCGTTTGAAAAATTTTGACCGTTGATAAATATAGCCGTTGGAATGTACAGTAGAATGATTGAAGAATATGGTCTAGTTTTGGATTTGGAGTCCTTATATTTTATCTGAAACGCACCAGTTGGCCACCATGTTGGTGACTTTCTAATGATCCGATTCCGTTCATATTTTAGAGTTCATTGAGTAGATCAACCACAAAAATTTTCAACTTAATCGGAGATTAGCATGATGGTTGCCCGAGCCGAACCGCAAGCCCCTGTTTCTTCCAAGAAATGCTACTTGATCAAGCCCCTGGAAATGCTACTTGATCAAGCCAACTCATTAATTTAATAAAAAAGAAAGAAAGAAAAACAAATACAATAAAAAAAATAATATTTTAATTAGATTGAATTAAAATAGAGAGTTTGATGAAGTGAGTACTAAAATGTGACTAGCTAAAATAGCAAAATATCTTTTTAAGTTATAATTTGAGCAAAAATTTAAAGAGATTGGTGTGGATGCTCTTACAATAGCTATTTTAACAAAATTCATTAAGAATAGTTACATTTGAAGAGTCTTGGGGTTGTAAGACTCTTTAAACAGTTTGTGTATATAGATAACTAAAATAAAGAGTAGTGTTGAAGTATATAGATAAAATAAAAATTAGGCAAAATAAATAATTACTTTTTTTTAATATTTTAACTAATAAAAAATGAAGAGTGTGGTTAGTTGTCATTAATCCTCTCTAAATAATACTCAATCAAAAAGTCAAAACTATTTTATTTTATTTATTTATTTTTTCTAAAGTAATAAGAAGAATGTTTAGTTTTGATTTTTTAATTGAGGAAGAATTAATATTTTGTTATTTTGGAGGCAAATCTGGAACGGGGGAGATAATTAATTGAAGACCTGTAATATTTAAGAATCTACTAATTAAAGAGAGAAAGTTTTAATTGGTTAAAAAAATGTAGTTATTTTAAAATAGAAATATAATAAATTGGAAACTTATGTATCAAAGTATTCAAGAGAGTGGCCAAATAATTACCATTATTTTAAAATTACGAAATTATATAAGGTGCCACGTAAGAGAGACATTAAAATTAAAAAAAAAAAATTATTTAGTAAAAAAAAACTAAACTTTAACCTTTGTAATAAATTAAATCTTAACTTTTTAATTTCTCCAACTTAAAAGAGGTTTACAACAGCAATCTACTTGAATCTACTTGAAGCTACTCCTATGAATCGAAGTGCAGTGCTGGTATTTAAAGTGCAGTACTCAGCCTCAGAGAGGACCAATATTTATTGCCACGTGTACGATCAGGATTAAAGGCTTGAATAACCTTCCTTTATTACCCTTACTCTGCCACGTGTCGAACTGTAACTGGCTTTTACAAAATATGTAGCCAACAGAAATATAATAAATTGGAAACTTATGTATCAAAGTATTCAAGAGAGTGGCCAAATAATTACCATTATTTTAAAATTACGAAATTATATAAGGTGCCACGTAAGAGAGACATTAAAATTAAAAAAAAAATTATTTAGTAAAAAAAAACTAAACTTTAACCTTTGTAATAAATTAAATCTTAACTTTTTAATTTCTCCAACTTAAATTCTAATATTCTAATTTGGCGTGAATCTAAATCATGTCTGTTTCTATTAAATAATAGTGATAGAGAATGATAGTCATCACATTCATTACTTTGTTATAATTTTATGCTTGAAAACTGAATATTTTGATTTTAAAAAATAAAAAATCCCTCCTTACCCCACCCAACTCTATTTTGCACAGATCCAGCACCAACCCGTCTGGCATCCTTATCTCATATCCACCACCTCTCCATGGTCCCTACGCCAGGGTGGGTTTATGTTGGAAAATGACTTTTATATTACCTTCTTTTTTTTTTTTTTTTCTTACTTTGAGCATTAATTAAAGTGGCACCCAAATGTTATTTTTAACGTTTTTGATTAGGTTCATGTTTAATGCCGCGTAGTAAATAAATTCATATGTTTGGTTACTCAAAACCATTTCCGAATGAATGAGAATTCAATACGCGTTTTTAGGTTTGTGGAACTAGTTTCTTGGTGAGTTTCTTACACATTTATAAAATGTGCTTATCCCACATTGGAAAGGCTTGAGGAATTGTTTGGGTTTATAAACCTTAGCATTGGATGTTTGGGATTGGCCCCAATGGGTATCCAAGTTTGTGGAAGGGTAAGGTTATGGGTGAAGTGGGCTAGACCCATTGGACCCAAAATAAAAACCGCGCGCGCGCCGTCGCCGGCAGTCCGTCCGTTCGGCCGGTCAGTTGGGTTGGACTTGTCCAGTCCAATACTTTTTTTTTTTGGGCAAAAACATTTGTATTTATTTATTTAATTTTGAATTTCAATTTCGAAAAATTAAATTAATTCTGGTCCAAATTTTTTCTCACCCAAACAAGTCCGAACAGGTTTCATACCTGTTGGTTTCCACACAAACAAGTTTGAACCTGTTGAACCCTTTCCCGAACAAATCTGGAACTATCCAAACAGTTCAAACAAATTTTCTATCTGTTCAAATATGTCCGAACAGTTGCCTATCTGTTGGCACCTGTTCAGAATAGCCACCTTTCTATCTATATAAAGCATGCTTCTAGCAATTCATAAGACACAATTTTTCCATTAGAATTTCGTCATTCTCCTGCTATTCTTCTTCTGTCTTTCTACATCTTTTCTGTATTTATTTTTAGGAAGAAAAAAAGAGAGTTATAACAGAGTTTTGATCCGGCCCAATACTTATCTTTTTGGGCCAAAAACATTTGTATTTATTTATTTAATTTTGAATTTCAATTTCGAAAAATTAAATTAATTCTGGTCCAAATTTTTTCTCACCCAAACAAGTCCGAACAGGTTTCATACCTGTTGGTTTCCACACAAACAAGTTTGAACCTGTTGAACCCTTTCCCGAACAAATCTGGAACTATCCAAACAGTTCAAACAAATTTTCTATCTGTTCAAATATGTCTGAACAGTTGCCTATCTGTTGGCACCTGTTCGGAATAGTCACCTTTCTATCTATATAAAGCATACTTCTAGCAATTCATAAGACACAATTTTTCCATTAGAATTTCATCATTCTCCTGCTATTCTTCTTCTGTCTTTCTACATCTTTTCTGTATTTATTTTTAGGAAGAAAAAAAGATAGTTATAACAGAGTTTTGGTTCGCCAGACTTAAATTTGCGGTGCTGCAAATTTAAGTATTAGTCGTTGCATCCTGAGAAGTAGACACCGGTAAAACTCGAAGCACCGGAACGAGGGCGAAATCTACTTTAAGGAGATTGTGTTCAACATAGGCCTCGACACTATTTTCTGTAAACATTTAATTTGGAAAATAATTTATATAATTATTTTTTGAATTATTTTATTTTATTTTTTATTTATTTTATACATTTAATTTACACACATACACCTTTGTGGTTTCTAACAATCTTAAAGTAGATTTATTTTTATTTATTTTTGTGATAGACAGACAAATATTTTGTTTCGGAAAATTAAATAGTAGTAATATACTGTTTAATTTCTTAAATAGTATTAATTTAATGTTTAATGATTTATTTGATAACATAATAGTAATATACAGTTTATCATTGGAATTTTGTTTCAAAATATTATTCTGTTTATTTTGTGTGTAAATTCATTTTTGTATAAATTTGTGATTGGTACAATTTTTATTTTGTTAGAATTATGACAACTGAAATTAACAGTACTGAGACTGTTATTACTCAAAACCCCACACCTGTTGTGCCAGTGATGACTCTGGCAGTATTGGTAAATCATGGGGAGAAGTCAGAAAAATTCAATGGCAATGATTTTAAAAGATGGCAACAAAAGATGATGTTTTATCTTATCACATTAAATTTGACTCGCTTCACTCATGAAAAGACACCGGCACTGAACGAGGGAGAAACTGACCGGCAAGTGGTTGCCACAGTCGATGCATGGAACACATGGTGATCTTCTGTGTCGAAACTATATCCTCAATGAGTTGGACAATACACTGTACAATGTGTATAGTGTGAAAAACACAGCTAAAGAACTGTAGGAATCTCTAGATTATAAGTATAAAACAGAGGACGTCGGTATAAAGAAATTTGTTGTCAGTCATTTTCTAGATTTTAAAATGATGGATTCCAAAATAGTTATTAGCCAAGTTCAAGATCTCCAATTAATTCTCCATGACATACATGCGGAAGGGATGGTTCTCAGTGAATCTTTCCAAGTAGCGGCAATCATTGAAAAATTGTCACCTTCTTGGAAAGAATTCAAGAATTATTTGAAGCATAAGCACAAGGAGATGAAATTGAAGAAACTGATAGTGTGGCTCCGAATTGAGGAGGACAATCGAGGTTCCGACAAGAAGTCAGGAAACCATGTCATGCAGGCTAAAGCAAATGTTGTGGAACATGAACATAGGTCAAAGTTCAACAACAAGAAGCGAAAGCATGATGGCAATGATCCCAAACAAGGATCCACTAGTAAGATCAACAAAGGGATCAACAACGGGTTCAACAAGAGGTTCAAAGGCAAGTGTTTTGTGTGCGGCAAAGATGGGCATCGTGCTAAGGATTGTCACATTCGCAAAGATGGAGGGAGTTCAACCAAAAAACCAGCACAAGCGAACATAGCTGAGGATTTTTATCTTTCCGATGGAGTAGCTGACATCAATCTTGCTGTAGTAGTCCCTGAACAAATTTGGTGGGCAATTCCAAGGAATGGTGGGTGGATACTGGAGCAACCTGTCATATCTGTGCAGATAAGAAGATGTTCACAACCTACAAAGTGGTAGAAAGTGGGGAATAATTTTTTATAGGAAACTCCTCCACTTCAACTGTAGAAGGATAAGGAAAGATTGTGCTAAAAATGAC